ACACATATAATTCAGTCACACTGAAACATTCTTGAAGTTATGCAACCATTTTCATTCTTATTATCGAAGAGTACTTCCTCATAACTGTCCATATCCTATGGTTCCTACTTAATCTTTCAAGTTGCTGCTGTCACATTCATCCCATATAGATAGTCTTTAAACAACATAATGCTAAAGGCAAACATTTAAGTTAAACTACTTAACTATTTGGCTTTAAGATGACTACAGGAAATATTTTTGTTTAAAGTTTAACAATTATCTGAGGGAAATAGTTTCAGAGGTTCATCCAGTTCGTTTGACTACAGAAAGTCTGAATTCCATGAACATTTAAGATTTTGTTCTGCATTTCTTTCTTTTGATTAGGATTCTCCTCTAACAATCTTTGATTAAAATGTTCTGTAATGGTAGCATGGGGTGATTCAATTTTCCAGTCTCACAGTAAAGGAGGCACTTGCTCACTGAAGCAATTAGCCACACATCTTTTTCCTTGCTCCTATTCCTCTTATTCCTCCTCCTCTTCCTTGCTCTCATCATAGCTGCTGCTTCTGGCATACAGACCAAACGGCATGCCTTGGTTGGCCACTTGCACGCTTTTAAGGCACAATGTAATGAACCAAGAAGTAGATCAGATGAAACAAACACATTATTAAACCAATGAACTAGGATATGCCATGTTGTTATTCTTGTGTAATGTAGAGTTGGAACCGACCCATAGCTGACCCTCCAGTGGGTTTTCAGTGGCAGTTAATCATATGGGAGGAGACATCTCCTGTGGAGCAGCTGGTGGCCTCGAACTGCATGCCTTCAGGATTGCAGCACAGCTTCTTGGAACTAGGCCACCAGTGCACCCTAGGATATGCTATAAAACCTATTTTCTCTTTCACTGATTCATGCTATTAACTTAGTTGACATTTCCTTCCTTGTGCTTGATTTTGGTTTATTTTGCACTTGTTTCTTAAAATCTATTAATACTTTAAAGACTTCTTTTATAAAGGAGCTCGGATAACATACTGGGTTGAGCTTTGGACTGCTAACAGAAAGGTAAACAGTTTGAATCTACCAGCTGCCCCTTGGGAGAGAGATGAAGTAGTCTTCTCTCCCAAGGATTTATAGCCTTTAGATCTCTATCAGACAGTTCTACTCTGTCCTCTAAGGTCACTATGAGTCAGAATTGCTCAAATGACAGCAGAACTGGTTTTGGTTTTTCTTTTATTTAGTAACATTGGATGTGCTCACCAGGTTGTGCCAAGAAATCTGGAGGACAACTACTTAGCCAACTCACAGGAAGAGATAAATATTTATTCCCATTCTAAAAAAGAATGGTGACCCAACTGAGTGTGGAAATTATCAAACAGTATCACTGATATCACATGTGAGCTAAAGCCTCATGAAGATTATAAGAGAGAGGAAAAAAAAAGACTGCAACAGTACTTTGACAGAGAACTGCCAGAAAGACAGGCCAGGTTTAGAAAAGGCCATGGTACCAGAGACATTATTGCCAAACATCAGATAGAGCTTGGCTCAAAGCAAAGAGTATCAGGGGAATGTCTATCTGTGTTTCATTGCCTATGCAAACACATTTGATTGTGCTGATCACAACATATTGTGGTTCATCTTGAGAAGACTGGGAATTCCAGGACTCTTGATTGTGCTCATATGAAACCTATACTTGGAGCAGGAAGCAGTCCTCAGAACAGAGCAAGGAAACACTGCATGGTTCAAAATCAGGAAAGGAGTGTATCAAGGATTCATCCTGTTTCCATGCCTTTTCAATCTATACATGAAACATATCATTTGGGAGTCTGGACTTTATGAGGAGGAATGTGGCATCAGGATTGAAGGAAGACTCATTGACAACCTGCATTATGCAGATAACACAACCTTGCTTGTTGAAACTGAGGAGGACCTGAAGCACTTGCTGCAAAAGGTCAAAGACTACAACCTTCAAAATGAACTGAAGCGCAATATCAAGACGACAAAAATTCTCACCACTAGGCCAGCTGGTAATACCATGGTAGATGGAGAAGAGACTGAGGTTGTCAACAATTTAAGATGCTTGGCTCCACAATCAACACTCTTAACACCAATAGTCAAGA